TCTCGCTAATATATTCTATGTATATACAAAAAAAGTTATTTCATTATTGAAAAAGCAACTTAACCTCAAAAGATTGAAAATTTTTATTTACATTAAATTAAATAATAGAACATATAAGACTTTTCCTTTGTTCTTGTGCCAAAAAATTTAAAAAAAATTTATATTTATTCAACAATCACTATATACATTATATCTATTCAAAAATTTGCACAAAAAATTAAATAATAAAATAATTATTACATGCTTCCCCTTCTTCTTCTTTTCTCCATTCAAAAGGCTGATAATTTTGAATCTACTGGGTCACTTACAACCCGTTCACACTTGATATTCCATATTTCAAGCGTTAAACTATCTGTAGAAACGATATTTTCCCTCATCCACGCCGGAAGATCGTCGACAGACATAATTCCTGAATTGAAATCGTCCCTAAACATGATTTCATTGGATTAACATAAGATAATTTAACCAAACACGGTTGGAATAACAACGTAACCCGTTGTTTCCGTTGGTCGAAACAATACACCATTAGCATCTCAACGCAATCATAATTATATGCCTGTGAACTCACGCAATACCGAGTAACTGTACCGTTATCTCTGGCTAATCCTATTATAATTCGTATCAGGTCAGACTGCAAATCCGTTTTTAGCAAAGGGTCTCGCCCTATTTCGCCCCCTTGTACATTTTTATTGGCCCATTTCTGGTTGCAACAATAAAAGCCTCCTCCTTATTCTCGGTATTAAACGTCACCATTATTACGATTACGTAGCTATGATTGATTGACACATTGTTAACCTAACCTCTCATCCTCGTTAGCATTACCAATCCTTCGACAATGCGACTTTCTTAATAACTGACACGATTGAAATAAAGTCCCTGAGTTGAGACAATATACGAAGTTCTCATGAAGCTTGAAATGCTTTCGTTTCTTTCGCGCACACCCGCGTAATATCGTTTTCCATTCTTGCTCGTTTCCGAGTTTATGTAATTGTATCGAACCTCTCCTCGAACTGCATTACCGATGTGGCCTCTTCCTTGCCATCCGAGCAAGGCAGAAATCGAATTTAACGCGGAGAAAGAAAGAGCTGCTTAAAGTAATCAAAACTTGTATCCATTTTCGATCCCTATGTCCGATCTCTAACAACTCACAATTGCGTTAGAATACGCGAAAAGTCGATCGTTGAAAGAGCTTTTTTCAAGAATCAATCCATTTGCCACTCTATTTAATAGCGAGTAGATGGCGTGCAATAATAGCTCGGGTAATATTTCAAAGAATTTTTATGTTTTTAAGAGAAGAAAGATTTCAAATTCCTCTTATATCGTGGCCATTGTACAAATTTTTCAGATTTCATTGTATAATTGTTTTTAAAGCATAGAGTATTGAAATTAATTGATATATATCTTGCATTATATTCGATGATATTAAATATGATATTAAATTTGCAACCCAAGTTTCATCATATTACTGTTGGATTAATATTAAAAAACGTTCAATATTATTTATTCATATTATAAAAATATTTTGTAATATAATATATAGTGGCAATATAATTAATTACAAAATAAATTTTCTTAAATTTTCAATAAATTCAATAAAATTATTGCGTGTTCTTTTTCTTCTCCTTCTTTCGAATATTAACTCGTTTGTTCGAATATTTATCACATAATATCATTATAATATTATCGCTCTCGAAATTTATTCTCTTCGCTGTTCCAACGTTTTACACAGATTTCACGATACCAAAAGATTGATTAAAATTGTAGTGGCTCCTAGAGATAAGGATCAAAAATAACTATTACATCAACCATTAATTGAACGACAATAAAAAAAAAGAAAAAAAAGAAGAAGTACTCGGGTTAAACAAAAACAAATAACGAGCGAATATTACCATATATTACCTTTGATGTTACCAAGCGATAACAAGCATAAAGAGTCTTCGCGATATTTTCACGAAATTACAACGTCGCCTAATCACGCTTGGTATCTGAGAGCGTGCCGCCAATTTATTCACCATACAAAGATTTGCACACGAAATGCCGTGCGTGCCGCCGGTAAATATGCAGAAATGCTCGAATAAATGCTATCAGAAACACGTTCGAGGGCCTTGATTCATTAAACGAAGGCCGAATCTCGTGATACGGTTGGAAATGGGAAATGAGTAATGGAGTCAAGCGACGTAGCGGTGACCCTGCGAATGTATAATCCTTTTCTAATGATGTGCCCGTTTTTTTTGCTTTAATACGGCTGACACGTTGCAATCGTGCCTCGTGTGGTTACGAACAAGCAGCCCATTTTCGCGTTTTCCACGTTTCTTTCTTTTTTTTCTTCTCTCTCTCTCTCTCTCTCTCGTGGATTACGGATTAACATACAGTTTGACCGAGCAAAAGTGAAGTGGAGGGGTTTCGCGATGTACAGGGTGTCGATATATTCGTGGAACATTCTCTGAAAAATCGATTCTAGAGGCCAGAACAAACACAAAAGTTGGTATGCGAAAATGTTGGTTGAGGCTTGGTTATTGAGTTATAAGCAATTTAAAGTTTTCGTTGGATGAAACGAGGTGGAGACAGAAGGAAATGACGGAGACAGGGCTATCTTACTTTATTTAGAGTTTCACTTCGCCAAACGCAAACTTAGATTGCTTATAATTTAATAAATAAGGTTCAACCAACATTTTTGTGTAACTTTGTATAACTTTTGTGTTTGATTTAGCTTCTAGAATTAATTTCCAAAGGTTCTTACGAATATATTAATACTTTATTAACAATTCTTTGTACAGGAAAGATTGGTTTCTAAGATATGTATGCATATATTAACATACATATAAATGTTACACATATTTATTATAATATTTTATTTATTATGCGAGGTTGAATATGAAGTTTTAATTAATTTTATTATTAATTTTATTATAGCTAGTGTCAAATTTAGTATTAGATTTATTATATGGATTATATTCTTTATTTAATTATTTAATTATTTTTTTATTTTCTTTGAAAAGTTATAAAATGTCTTACTCGTTCTTCAAAACAATTTTGAAAATTGTTTCATAGAAAGTTTTCAAAGAAACTTTTGGTTGAAATATAAAAGAATAACTGTTTTAACTTGGAATAAAAATATCAAGAGAAAATCAATATAAAATTTGCCAATCTGAATTCTACAATTTCCGTTTAAAATATTTTTTTGTTTCAAAATTATATTATATTAAATTAAAATAGAACACCCTGTAGAACAGCCTAATTTCACGGAACATTCATTGCAAACTGAATCGAGGTAGCTTTCGAATGAATCTTCTGGGACTCGTTTCTATCACGCGTCATCCTCTTGAAGAGAGCCATTTTCTGAAACGAATTTCCGTTTTACGCAAGTATTACGTGACACTGCTCCAAATTAGATAATTTATGATTTATACGATTGGAGATTCGTTATTCTTCGATAAAATGTAAATCTCTTTAAATTTTTAGAACGATGGCAAGATTTTCATGTAGATTATATATATTTTTATATATTTTATTTTATAGAAGATTGATAAAACGATTTCAACGTACATATTGCACATTGTTGTTCAAAAATTCCTTTAGCATTTTAAATTGTTCAAATTGTATACAATTTGCAACAATTTCAACAATATATTCTATACAAATTGAATCATCAAAATGCTGAAATATACTGTCGATCGATAATTCATAAAAATAAATATTTATTTATTTTTTAATATTTAATATTGCATAAAATATTTCTTAACATTATATATGAGTGCTAAATATCAAAAATATATATAAAATAAAACGTTATTCCAAAGAAACATACATTTTTGAAAATTATAAGCGATTATTAAATTAAATTTTAGATCATATTTTAAAAAATAAAAATGAAATAATAGTAAATTTGAATAAATTTTCTGTAGAGAAAAGTAATTATAAAACGATATGAATATTCGAAACGATCGTTTTGCTGTCATGCAGCTTAAAAAGAGAAAACAACAATCACTTGAGAATACTATAAATTCTTTTTCAATTAGTCTTCAATAATTTTTGCATAGGACATAATTAGGAATAACCATTATTTTTAAAGTTTTCGATGAATTCGATAAAAAAAATATATAAATCGAAAAAAAAATATTTTTTCATTTTATTTTAAAGCAAATTAAATTTTTTTAATTATTTCTTATTTGTTTTTACATTTAACGTGTCACACACTACGAATATCAATTTCTAATCAATCTATTCGCCATTAAATAGTTGTTATCATAACTATATCATGATCAGTCTTCTATAGTAACAACAACCACCGCTAGGCGGCTTTAAGCGCCACTGCGATTCTCGTTAGTATTTTCTACACTATAAGGTATAACTATTAAGCTAAGCAAACAAAAACTCTCGCAAATTTCAAAGTAGTAAATCGGTAGTAATAGTAATCGGTAATCGAAGCCGTAAATAAGTATTTTTGAACGGCTATTGTATTATTTGTTTAATGTGAACGTGTACATAATAATGATTAAATATGTATATAATAATAAATATATATATAATTATAGTAGGGTAAGATTTATATTATAAATATAGATTTTAGTTGTAACATATAAAAAATAGAATTTAAGTATCATGAATAAAATTAATTAGTATGTATATATATAATAGTAATAGAATAAAGTTTATATTATAATTTTAATTAATATACTTATATCGTGTAAGTGTTAAGTTTCATTTAAATTAGTATAAATACAATAAGTTATCGTATAGAATTTAGTTTAATTCTCAGATAATGAAATTAATTTATGATTGATTCACAGAATTTTTTTTTATTATAATTTTATATTTCTTGAGATTATTGAAGATTATCAAATTAAATTTTTATCATCATAACTGAATTGTCCTCGGTATTATGCATACCGGACAAAGTTGTATATCCTCGTTGCTGTTAGAGTAAAATAATCTATCGTTAAGTTTTCATAATAATCGAAGAATTCGCCTAATAATTTCACTGTTTATATTATTTTCAGGCACGAAGACGCGGTGTGACGTTGTTCCATCTGTTAATACTGGCTGGTTTGTTCACCCTTGGCACGGCCGCAATCTGTCCAAACGGGTGTATCTGCGACGACGACAACCTCGTGGTATCCTGTATAGGAGCGAATTTGGATGTCATACCGATTGCCCTGAATCCAAGTATCCAGCGAATAGTGTTGAAGGAAAATCGAATAAAAATAGTCGATGCAGCCGCGTTCCAATTCTACGGGGACTTGAAGAACGTCGATTTATCGAGCAATCACCTGTTTACCATTCCCAATGGGAGCTTCGATGCTCAGAAGCAACTGGTGGAACTTCATCTAAGACACAACAAGATCTCGGCATTGACCGAGAAGACGTTCCAAGGTTTGAAATCTTTGACGGTGCTCAATCTGCGTGATAACTACTTGGAGAATCTGAAGAATGGCCTGTTTGCCTCGTTATCGAAGTTGGAGGAGCTGGACTTGGGAAAAAATCGCATATCGAAAGTGGAGCCGGGTGCTTTTCAAAGGTTGGGCACGCTCAGAGTATTACACCTCGACGACAATCAATTGAAAACCATTCCATCTCCGGCTCTGGCTCCGTTGAATGCTCTGGCCGAGCTGCATATAGGTTGGAACGCGTTTTCCTCACTTCCAGACGACGCGTTCCGGGGACTGGAACAATTGACCGTGCTTGACATTACCGGGGCCGGGTTGGACAACATAAGCGACAGCGCTTTTCGCGGTCTGAACGCTCTGCGCACGTTGGAATTGGATGGGAACAAATTGCGAGAAGTGCCGACTAGACAATTGGCCGTTCTACCTCGGCTCGAGGAGCTCACCCTGGGTCAAAATTTCTTCACGATCCTGAGATCGGGTGCCTTCCAAGGCCTGTCCAAGTTGAAAAAACTGGACATATCCGCGGCCAAGTTGTTAACCACCGTTGAACGAGGGGCGTTCTCGGACAACGCCAACCTAGAGACACTCGTGTTGAACAGTAACAAACGGCTGACTACAATGGAGGACGGTTCCCTGGCCGGGTTGCCCAACTTGAGGCACTTGATGCTGCGGGACAACGCATTCACCGGATTCTCGGAATCTCTAGTGGCCTGGAACGAGCTTCGCCGGCTCGACTTGAGCGAGAATCCCTTGGTCTGCGACTGCAGCCTGCTCTGGTTATCCGAGGTCCTTGTCCCAAGAAACTCCAGCCCGGTGTTGTGCCTGGAGCCAGCCGAGTCGAAAGGGAAACCCATAAAGGGCATGACACCCGACGAGCTAGGTTGCGCCTTCTCCGATCCCAGGAACAAGCATTGCTAGCCACCCTGAGCACGGCTGGCGTTGCCTTCTTCTGCGCCGTGTGCCTGATCGGTTACTACAGATGTCGCAGACGCTTTGGGGACGCGTTGAAAGACTACAAATGGAAAAACCGCGGCATCTCGCGCAAGGAGCACGAGTATCAAAAGACCTTTTCCAACGACGACGAGTACATCGTCAGATCCGCCCACACTCACCACCACCACCACCACCATCAAGCTCAACCGCAGCAGATCCCGCCTCACCACCACCACCACCATCTTCAACAGCAACAACTGCAACAACAGCAGCAACAACAGCAGCAGCAGCAACAACACTCTCAGATAGCGGCCGGTATCAAGCCTATACCGGTGACGGAACTGTAGCTAGAACTTCGGGCGGCGAGCCCTGGAACCGGCGGTGTTTGGTTCTTGCCCCATGGCAGCACCACTCTCGCTGAAGGCTTCACCTACATCGACGGGGAGACGGCGCGCCAAATGCGCCGCCGGGAACGCTGCCCAACTCCGGGACGTCCGGCCATCGTCCAGCCGCCATCGAGGACGGCTCCGCGCCGTTGACCGTCCCAGGGGACAACTGCTCCTCCACAGGCGGTGGCAGGCTTCATTACTCGAATCATTCTCTGCGCCGCACGCCGCAGCCACCCCATCTGCCCTCCCGCGACCCGGACAACACCTCGGAAAGGGCGCAGAACGACTCGAGGCTTCAGAACGGCATACCTGGACACCATCACGCCCCGCCTCCGCTACCCTCGAGACACCAGTCGTCCTGCGGCCAATCCTCCTACCCCACCCTGCCTATGAACGGCCACCAGTACCATCACTTCCCGCGCGAGAAGGACAGATCGTCGGCACGCGAGAGGAGTCGCGATCGAGATGTGCAATCCGTCCCCCATCGGTCCGAGAAGCACCGAGAACTTCAGATGGAGATGGAGATGCGCGACGGGATGGACATGGAGATAGGCACGTATCGGGCGTAAGGGAGTGTATGTATGCACGGGGTGACAAGGTGTATTTCGCACCGAGTGAATTGAATAATCGAAGACTGAAATAATCGAATAAGGTGGGGGAGGGACTCTGACGGTGGACGAGATGGTCTCCGTCCGACTCTCTCGAAGTGAAACACGGTTGGAAAGATGCACCGGGAAGCGGTTCGATGAACAATCGCCGGTGCAATCGCGAATGGAATTGGCGAACTCGCAGCTAAATCAAACTGAAGACTGATTACGACGGACGTAGGACGGTGAAGTAAGTTAATGATGATAACTGGTACATTCCAATCATCTGTCTGCCAGTCTTCGTTGGAATCGGCGGCCACGCAAATTCGAATCAAATTAGAACGTTTCTTGGTCGACAGGAATTTCTCTGATTGTCGTGCATTGGGTGCTCGCAATGAGAAATCTCCGCGTTCACTTTCGAAATCGTGCCGATGGAAATTACAGGATCAACAGGAAGAAATATACATATATAAATATATAAATATATATAGAAAGACACATCGAAGTTATTTTAATGAAAGCAAAGATTCATATGACGGGAAAACGATAATAAGAAGAACGTAAGTCGTGTGCATACGGATCAAACGTTAAGGATCAATGATGCTTTGAAGGAAATCCGTCGAGAGGGATAAAAATTCGGATCGATACGTTTCGTTGGACATCCGTTTCACAATAGCGCGTACCCTGTGGAAGAGGAACGAGATTCGCAAAGCATGGATCGGATTGAAGGGGGCGCGCGTGAGAAGAGCTGCGTCAAAAGACCGATGGAAGTAAGAACTGTGTGTGCGTTGCTCCGCTAACGATTTTTACGTGCGACAGCTATAGAATGATCGGCGACTTTGAAGATCGTTGAAAGACGAAACCGGAAGGGGAAGGAAGGCTAAAGGAAAGGAAGAAAGATCAAAGTTTCGGGCGAAGCTTACTGTCTCGATCCTATATATGGACTCGTTTGTAAAGATCATTTTTTAGAATGATGGAGCAATGGATCACGCTTCTACCGCCATTACTATCGTTCACGAACGACCCACAATGAGAAACGTTTGTGGGAATTTATTATTGCAATTACGGTGAATTTTCAAGCGCCTTATGCGAGTAATCTTGAGCACGTGAAAATCGTATTCGGAATACTCTATTGAGGGGATTTCAATGATTCGTTGCGTCATTTTCATTCCCAGCGTTTATTATGTAAATGTATATTATTTATTGGCGTGGTATTAGAGAACTTTGTACTTGTATCCGTACAATATCTTTGTATCTTCTATATTATTTAAAGGGAATTAATCGAATGATTTATACTCCCTTGGGGAATGAATAAATTCTTCAAGTCTCGAAGGAAGATCGACACGATGTGAACGTTATTGTAAATTATTGTATAGATATTTTCTAAAATTTAATCGCATAAAAATGGGGGGAAGGGGAGGGGAAAGAAAAAAGAAAAGAAAAAAAATGGAATTACAAATTTGTAATTGAGACACCTATTTTATGAGTACGATCCATATAATAAATGAACGCTCACACGAAATCTCCACGATGTTTGTAATGTTAATCTTATATTAAGTCGACCACTTAATTATATCTAAACCATCGAATAAATTACTTGAAAAAAAAAAAAAAGGAAAAAAAGACGATCTCAAGTTCGATAGCGTGTAGTTATACACGATAATCCACGTGATAAAATCGAAGGTATTTATAAGCTCGAAAATAACCTTGGGAATAATCGCTCAACTGAATATTCTCCTGCCCTTCACTGGAATCTGGAACGTAAACGTGTAACGAACTTTCTTCGACCGGGGAGGAACTTTCGTGAAACTAGAATTTGATCGTGAACTTAGACTTCAAGGTGACAACACATTATATCGTCCTCTTTCGAATCGCCACTTCATTGTACTTAAAACAATATTTTTACCTAAGTATTTAGGATACGCCTTTCATTCGTTCAAGCTTGGACATTATATTGTTTAAATAAAATGATTATTTAAATTGTTAAGTATTATTTTCAAATACTTATATTAATTTTTTCTAAGTGGCAAATTATTTCATTAAAGTCGCTTTTTTTTTAAATTTTTTATTCGAATAAATAATACGTTTTAAATAACGTATCAATTTAATCATTAAATTAATTTATCTTTCTTGTGTTCCATTAACTCCAATTTTGTTGTTTCTCCATTGACGTAACGTTGACCGAAGAGTGTGAAAAATTGAATCGCCAAAATGATAAAAAAGTAAAAAAAAAGTAAATAAACCGATAAAATTTGCAATTTATAATCAATTGAATAAATTAACGAAGGATCAATCTTCCAGTTGAGAGGTAAAGTAAATGTGATCGAGCGTTCACCGAAAGATTCTTCCATCAAACGATGATGCATTTAAAAAAAAAATCGAACTACAAGAACGCTTTCATTTATCATAACGTGCTCTCATCCAACATAGATTACATCTATATATTCTAAACAATCGAATTTAATGAATATACAAACACATAATAATTCGCACAATATCCTCGATCGTAAATTAAGAAATAAATTCATATAGCATCTCGCAGAAGGATATCTTTTCCAAGATCAAGGTTCGTAGAAAGTTCAAGATTACTTATCCTTCGAATTTCACTGTATCGAATATTCGCTCTTCAAGTTTGCCGCGACGTTTCATCAAGGAAAATATCTCAAAGTTGCGAGGATCGTAAAAAAAATATCATCCAACGAATTTTTCATCGATTGGAAAAACAGGACACGCTGTTAAAACGACCAGAAGCAAAAACTTATCAAACAACATTGAAATCGTATATTACGTGCGATCGTTTCGTACCAAATACGAATTCGATACCGGTCGAGCCTCGAGCAGATTTCTGTTGTTACTCATCAGAGTCGTGTAGAGGCTTCGGTGGTCGTTTTCACCCTACTCGAATGCAGATTTCGATCCATCTCGATGCAAAATTATCGGCTCCACGAACAATGATGGGCCGAGAGCGATGAGACCGAGGCCGAAGGCATCGAAAAACGATTGTAAGATACTCGATGTAAATAGAATTCTTCGAATTTCTTCTCAGATTCTGCTCTCGTCCACTCGTCTCGGAGTCGAGCTCGCTATTTTTGAAAGAAAATATCCGCGACACGTTGGATCGTATCAAAAGTTCTTTTCGTTATTTGCATATATTTTGACGAGCCGAGGAACATGGTTTTCCTCTGTTTTTCAATTGATATCGCGAGTCAGATTCCCTCTGATTTTCCAAGAAAATATTCTTTTGTTGTATAATATTTAACAAACGATTTAATGGCTTTTAATAAGAAAAATTTTTCTCAGAGACCCATGACGCAACGTATCATGTAGAGATTTTCTATTTTATGGCGGTTGAGGCGAAGAATTCCCCGTATTTTCCATTATGTACAATAAATAAATCAAAAATCATTTTGGAAAAAGAGAATACGAATCCAGAAAGATGGAACTTTGACTACAGTCTGTATATAAATGTCTGTGTATAAAATTTTATAAATGATGAAATGAATCATTGAAGTATATGAATATATGATCCATCTTGATTCTAGAAAAATGCAGAAGATCTATATAAGAAAAAAAAAAACGAAAAGAACTTTTCGAACTTGTATCTCGAGATTGTAAATAACGTTTATACCGACTCCCTCGATTGTAAGACTTGATTGTATATATATTTTTCAAAAAGTTAGATGGAAGGATTCAGAAGTCGATCAATGTGAATCAATGTTCAACAATTTCTTTGAATCTTCGCTTGGCGGATCAATTAAATCGATTCTAAACTGTTGAATTGATTTGTTAATCGAAAATTTGAACGATAAAAAGATTTTTTTGAATTACACAAATCGTTTTTTCAAGAGAACAGAATGTTCACACTGATCAGCCTCTAGATACGTATGTATCTCCTCCTCAACAAGTAAGGAAAATCATTCGGGTAACCAAATTTACGGGTATTGCCTCGCCTCGAGTTCATCGCCGTTTCGATACTCGTTAATTATTTAGAAATTATACGACTATCGTACGATAAAAATAGTTATACGTATCAATATATCCGTATACTTTCAATCGTCAGAATCAACTTTTGAGAAAAAAAGAGAAATAACGGATCCATAGCTCTGGTGGCTCGTTATAAAAAAATAACAGTGAGTGAGACGCCTTAAATTCGTTTCTCGATACCCATAAAAATCCTGTTTCAACCAACGCGAACAATATCTCTCTTTCGATCGACTGGCCAACGGTATGGACAATGGTTCCACGATACTCGATATTCTTTTTTGCAGCTCAAGTTTCCAAAAAAATTTTTTTCTCATCCCATTGTTATACAGGATATCGAGAGAAGAAAGGTTACAAACTTTGAAACGATGATGAAATTGATGATCGTGGATTTTATGCGAATTTTTTATATATATATAAAATATTATATGTATATATTTGTTTTACATACGCAAAAGGAATTAAATTTAAAATAGATATCTATCTCTTTTTCAATAAATTTAAACAAACTCAATTTATTTGATACGTTTGAGTATTTGAAATATTTAAATAATTTGTTTCGAAAAGTTTCAAATTAATAATTCTTGTTATTATTTTGGAAATTATATTTGGATATTCAATTTTGATTATTATTGTATTAAAGTAATACAAAATGGAATAGATAATAAGATTGTTGACGAGATTATTTTTCCACCTGAATGCACTCTATGGAATTCCATGGTCACCCCGGTCGAGAAAGGTGATTATATCTTGAATCTTGATTCTCCCGCACATTGATCCTGAGCATGGAAAATTTGAATTCCAGCTCAGGCTTGTGGACGAGTTTCGATTGCAAATAAGTTTCAGAATCATGAATTATTATTAAAAAAAAAAATAGGAAAATTTTCATTTCTCAATATAGAAAGGGAGAAGAATTCTAAATCGATTCTAAATCTTATTCTAAAATCATGGTTTTCCCATTTTTTCCTTGATATTTACTATAATTCATTGTGATTTCTTTGATATTCGATTATATGTGATTTTTAAGTGACATCTTTATTTTCATTAATATTATAATAGAAGAAATAATGTGCTCTGTAAAATAAATATTTTTTCTTTTTTTTTTTTAATTATGGTGTAGGCAAATTTGTAAAGAATTATTAGATTATTGAGATGTGTGCAAGTAGAAAAATTAATTAAGATTCATGACAGAAATTCGATACATCTTTAATCATTATTCAAAGATATCAATGATATCTATTTTCTTTCTTTCTTTTTTTAATAATATTTATTGCGATGCATATACTGTAAATAACTATAATTATGTCAAAATTGTAAACTTTATAATTAAAATTATTCTTTAAGCAAAATATTTCTAAATTATGTTAATTTAATGAACATTTATTAGCTTTGTTTAAATTGAATTTTTGATTAAATAAGAATTAAGTGGTAGTAATTAAAGAAAAAAAATTAATTATGATTTTTTTCTTCGATTTCCAAAAATGAATATTCTCAAAAATAATTATTAAGCATTAATAGATCATAAAAAATTATTTTTCTCCCATCATTTATTTTAAAAATATCAAATTCTTTATAAAAAGAGTGCAAGCTAAATAAATGATTTTTTGAAAAAAAAATTTCACACCATTCAAGCACTACTTTTCCATCCTTCAGTTTTCAAGACAATCATATTTGAAAAATCAATATTTTTCATAAATATGTCAATGGAATATTTATTAAAAATAAAGTTTTAATAACATTTTTAATAATAGTTAAATTAACACATTTGACATATTTTTTTTCCTTTTGAAAACATTATTTTTTTAAAATAAATAAGTTAAATTCAGTTTCCATTCAAGAGAAAAAAAATATATATGTTTTATTTATTAATTTAAATATATATTTTGTTTAATTATAAACAGTATTTATTCATTTTGGCTTTTAACAAAATTAATTGAAGAATTTTTTACATCAATATAAATTTTACTATTTATTATAAATTAAACTAAATATATTACGAATATTTTCTATTATTTAAAAATAATATAAAGGTAAATAATATAAAATAAATTTTATAGTTTATAAAATTTACATGCATTTCAATTTACATTGCAATAAATAATCAAACTAAAAGAAAGAGAGAATATATTCTGACTTTCATTAAAAGTCTTTCATTTTATCTATATTTTCTTTTATATATCCTCTTTTTATTTATTTTTAATCTGAATTTTCATTGTTATATTGATTAGCATTTTTAAACTTTTTCTTTAAAGTATTATTACATAAGCTATTAACGTTTATTTAAATTTTCAAAATGTATTTAATCAAATTATTATTTAAGGAATATACCTTACCAATTTGACAGTTATCAAATATATTATATCTCGAAAAATATAATGATTGTTGTTATTATAAAAGAAATTTTCGAAGCAATATACCAACAAATGATTTAAATTAATT